GGACAGTTATTACACACCAGAAAAGAAAGCTCTTGTTAGAACACAAGAAAAATTAAATAAAAAGCTTAACCGTAGTACTTTGTCTGTCGTTTTTAATGTAACATGCATAAAGTTAAGGATTGTTGCCTAAATATACAACTATATTACAAATTGGAGATACCAAAATCAAATAAGCAATATTTAGGAGGTGTTTTATCAGTTGCCTTTTAACGTTATATTGACAGAAAATGGATAGAAGGTATTAGAACTTGCCTAAGAGATCTCAATTAAGAATTCGCAATTAAAAGAAAATCCTACATATTTTGTTCGGTAAAGATAAAATTATGGTGATTTCTATGACTAGTGTTGGATTTTCAGCTACATCATTTGGTAATGTAATCATAAAGTTTGAAAACGAAATTATGATTACGGTTGATTAGCATAACGGCCAGATTGGGGTGAATAGAAAATAGCGTTTTGTTACATTATATAGAGAACTCGAAGACTTACCAGGATTAATTATTGGTTGCCACAATCTTAACAACATATGATATGCCGATAACGGAGCGTTGACAGCAAACACGGAAAGAAAACTACAAAAATTCTTACACAAGTCAGTGATGAAAAGCGAGAAGTAAGGACTACATATCAATTGCAAGGAGATTGAAAGCATGGTTGTTAGCAAAAGGGACAGCCCAGCGTGGAAATTACAAATTAGAGATTACGAAGTCAGACAAGTGCAATATTTTAGATTTTTAGGCTTTGATTTTTTTTCGGCTAAGTACGACACGGAAATCATTTGAACAAAATGAGGAAAGAATGCTTCGAAAATTCGATATTAACAGGATATATTGAATTTAAGATGATGGTAAAACAACCCATAACGTACTTGGAGAATTTGAGGTGAATAGATAGCCGGGTTGGAAGATAAAATTTAATAAGTGCATCAAAGAACAAGAAATTGCAGAGGGCCCATGATCGCCAAAGTCCTGAAATGACACAAAACAAAGAAGAAGAAGAAGAAGAAGAAGAAGAAGAACAAGAACAAAAAGAATGTAGTCAAAACGTCATAAATCCTCGAACCAAAATACAAACGTATCTGTAACTTTGCAAGGACGTTCATGATTAGCTGGGGGTTATTCTGTGAGATTTAATTCATTAATTCCATTTCAATTTAAGACATTTACAACCCTAAATATCGCCATCGAGTACAATTTAAGGCTCTGCGATATTTTTCATTTCTTTGTGTCATTTCAAAAATGTTCTTTATATAGTGTATTAGAAAATCACTGTCCGATTGGAGTGAAACATTTTTTTTCTTTTTCACAAAGATTAGAACATGTTTCCGTACATTGATGATTTGATCTTTGCCTACAGTGCAAGATTACATGGTTCTTCATAAATTTACATTACTATCATTAAAACTAATATCCTCATCCTTCACAGTGTTTCATCTATTATGTCGTTTAACTGTCATTGATTTGTTGAGTGTATTAAACTGTTGATGTAATCGGAATTCAATTGCAGAGCCGGGAAGCATCGATACAGATTCCGTGAGAACATGAATGATTCTTTTTCTACGGCTTTACAGCCTTTTTACTGGTTATTTGAAGAAATTATTTTTAGATTAAAGTAACTTTTGTGAGCGGGGAGGTATATAGTTTTAGGATACAAATCTCACTAATTAACCCATAGGTGGGAAGAGGTAGATTAATACCTTTCTGAAGCGCAGTTAAGCGTAATTGAACATAACGAACGTAGCTGGAATTTAAACTGAGGTTATTTGAAGCAAGAAATTATTTTCAGATTAAAGTAACCTTTGTGAGCGGGGAGGTATATAGTTTTAGGATACAAATCTCACTAATTAACCCATAGGTGGGAAGAGGTAGATTAATACCTTTCTGAAGCGCAGTTAAGCGTAATTGAACATAACGAACGTAGCTGGAATTTAAACTGAGGTTATTTGAAGCAAGAAATTATTTTTAGATTAAAGTAACTTTTGTGAGCGGGAGGTATATAGTTTTAGGATACAAATCTCACTAATTAACCCATAGGTGGGAAGAGGTAGATTAATACCTTTCTGAAGCGCAGTTAAGCGTAATTGAACATAACGAACGTAGCTGGAATTTAAACTGAGGTTATTTGAAGCAAGAAATTATTTTTAGATTAAAGTAACCTTTGTGAGCGGGGAGGTATATAGTTTTAGGATACAAATCTCACTAATTAACCCATAGGTGGGAAGAGGTAGATTAATACCTTTCTGAAGCGCAGTTAAGCGTAATTGAACATAACGAACGTAGCTGGAATTTAAACTGAGGTTATTTGAAGCAAGAAATTATTTTTAGATTAAAGTAACTTTTGTGAGCGGGGAGGTATATAGTTTTAGGATACAAATTTCACTAATTAACCCATAGGTGGGAAGAGGTAGATTAATACCTTTCTGAAGCGCAGTTAAGCGTAATTGAACATAACGAACGTAGCTGGAATTTAAACTGAGGTTATTTGAAGCAAGAAATTATTTTCAGATTAAAGTAACTTTTGTGAGCGGGGAGGTATATAGTTTTAGGATACAAATCTCACTAATTAACCCATAGGTGGGAAGAGGTAGATTAATACATTTCTGAAGCGCAGTTAAGCGTAATTGAACATAACGAACGTAGCTGGAATTTAAACTGAGGTTATTTTTGAAGCAAGAAATTATTTTTAGATTAAAGTAACTTTTGTGAGCGGGGAGGTATATAGTTTTAGGATACAAATATCACTAATTAACCCATAGGTGGGAAGAGGTAGATTAATACCTTTCTGAAGCGCAGTTAAGCGTAATTGAACATAACGAACGTAGCTGGAATTTAAACTGAGGTTATTTGAAGCAAGAAATTATTTTTAGATTAAAGTAACCTTTGTGAGCGGGGAGGTATATAGTTTTGGGATACAAATCTCACTAATTAACCCATAGGTGGGAAGAGGTAGATTAATACCTTTCTGAAGCGCAGTTAAGCGTAATTGAACATAACGAACGTAGCTGGAATTTAAACTGAGGTTATTTGAAGCAAGAAATTATTTTTAGATTAAAGTGACTTTTTTGTGAGGGGAGGTAATAGTTTTTAGGATACAAATCTCATTTTAACCCATTTTAAGGTGAGCGGGGATATATAGTTTTAGGATACAAATCTCAATTTAATTAACCCATAGGTGAGAAGAGGTAGATTAATACCTTTCCCATAGAAGAGGCAGTTACCTTTCTGAGCGTTAAATTGAACATAACGAACGTAGCTGGAATTTAAACTGAGGTTATTTGAAGCAAGAAATTATTTTTAGATTAAAGTGACTTTTGTGAGCGGGGAGGTATATAGTTTTAGGATACAAATCTCACTAATTAACCCATAGGTGGGAAGAGGTAGATTAATACCTTTCTGAAGCGCAGTTAACATAACGTTAATTGAACATAACGAACGTAGATTAAAGGAATTTAAACTGAGGTTATTTTTCTGAAGAAGCAAAGAAATTATTTTTTAGATTAAAGTGACTTTTGTGAGCGGGGAGGTATATAGTTTTAGGATACAAATCTCACTAATTAACCCATAGGTGAGAAGAGGTAGATTAATACCTTTCTGAAGCGCAGTTAAGCGTAATTGAACATAACGAACGTAGCTGCAATTTAAACTGAGGTTATTTGAAGCAAGAAATTATTTTTAGATTAAAGTAACTTTTGTGAGCGGGGAGGTATATAGTTTTGGGATACAAATCTCACTAATTAACCCATAGGTGAGAAGAGGTAGATTAATACCTTTCTGAAGCGCAGTTAAGCGTAATTGAACATAACGAACGTAGCTGGAATTTAAACTGAGGTTATTTGAAGCACGAAATTATTTTTAGATTAAAATAACTTTTCTGAGCGGATAGGTCCATAGTTTTGTGATACAAATCTCACTAATTAACCCATAGGTGAGAAGAGGTAGATTAATACCTTTCTGAAGCGCAGTTAAGCGTAATTGAACAAAACGAACGTAGCTGGAATTTAAACTGAGGTTATTTGAAGCAAGAAATTATTTTTTAGATTAAAGTAACTTTTGTGAGCGGGGAGGGTATATAGTTTTGGGATACAAATCTCACTAATTAACCCATAGGTGAGAAGAGGTAGATTAATACCTTTCTGAAGCGCAGTTAAGCGTAATTGAACATAACGAACGTAGCTGGAATTTAAACTGAGGTTATTTGAAGCACGAAATTATTTTTAGATTAAAGTGACTTTTGTGAGCGGGGAGGTATATAGTTTTAGGATACAAATCTCACTAATTAACCCATAGGTGAGAAGAGGTAGATTAATACCTTTCTGAAGCGCAGTTAAGCGTAATTGAACAAAACGAACGTAGCTGGAATTTAAACTGAGGTTATTTGAAGCAAGAAATTATTTTTAGATTAAAGTAACTTTTGTGAGCGGGGAGGTATATAGTTTTGGGATACAAATCTCACTAATTAACCCATAGGTGAGAAGAGGTAGATTAATACCTTTCTGAAGCGCAGTTAAGCGTAATTGAACAAAACGAACGTAGCTGGAATTTAAACTGAGGTTATTTGAAGCAAGAAATTATTTTTGATTAAAGTAACTTTTGTGAGCGGGGAGGTATATAGTTTTTAAACTGGGATTTGAACAAAAATTATTTTAGATTAAAGTAACTTTTTGTGAGCACTAATTAACCCATAGGTGAGAAGAGGTAGATTAATTTGACCTTTTTAACTGAAGCGCAGTTAAGCGTTTCTGGAAGCGCAGTTATTGAACATAACGAACGTAGCTGAATTTAAACTGAGGTTATTTGAAGCAAGAAATTATTTTTAGATTAAAATAACTTTTCTGAGCGGATAGGTCCATAGTTTTGTGATACAAATATCACTAATTAACCCATAAGTGGATTCATACCTTTCTGAAGCGTACTTGCGCGTAATTGAATATAACGAACCTAGCTAAGTTACACGATTAAGAATTCCGAGCCATTATCAATTACGGCACCCACGGATCCAAGCTTACAGCACTTTGTCTTCCAAGCGGTCACCCATCTAGGTACTGACCAGGGACGACGGTGCTTAACTTCGGTGACTATACGGGGACAGGTGTTTCAACCTGATGTGAAACTAAGATGATTAAGACCATTTGTTAAGTGAACAAAAGTATTCTAATATTATTTTACCAGACTTTTCTGCAAGTTTTCTCATTTACATTAAGTCGCATCTTTACCATAACGCTGTATCAACGTTAGGAATGAGCGGACAGAAAAATAGCTGATTGCCACTTTACCTTAACATCGACCGACACAACGTCGCATATAAACACACCACCGCAACGTTGCAACATAGTACCGTATTGCTGGGTAGTTTCTCTGCAACTGCTGTCAGAGTTCTATCCTCATTGGAGTACTGAGGCGATGTATCAAGTTAAATTAACTTTACTAAAAATCTACAAAGATATTAATATATTTTTTTTGCAGTGATTCTCATAATTTACACACATAAGACAAAGTCCTCATTTATTAACAGACAAACAGATGCCTAGAAATTCTTAAGTTGACACGTATATGTGAGTCCGGTCTCAAGGTTTCAAACAAGCGAAATCCTTTGATCTCGGGGCAAATAAATAGCGAATGTTTTCCGCTAACAAATATTGGCTTCCGAGCGTCGACATTAAGTGTCAACCAGCAGATCATAAAACGTACGAATTTAATAAATTCTAAAAGATATTCAGTTTCTTTGCTCTCTCTCTCTCTCTCTCTCACTCTCTCTCTCTCTCTCTCTCTCTCGCTCTCACTGGTTCGTTTTTGTATTTTTTATTCATGTCAATATCATATTTTTTCTCCGTTTTTTGTTTTTCACTTTTTTTCTTGCCCATTATTACTTCATGTTATTTTTCTTTTATCTTTTGTATCTATGCAAATTTCCCCCGCATAAACAGATGACACATATGTACATTAATATTAATGTTTTCTTTCTTCCTTTGAACGAGCCTTCCTTTCGTTTTTTGCATTTCGCACTTCCTTTGTTCATTCACATAGATTCGTTCTTTCTTTCATTCACTTTTTACTCGTGTTTTCAATTTTCATCAGCACACACTTCCATGAATTCTTCTCTTCCATCCTACATTTCCCTCCTTCTTTTCTTCTTTTCCTTCTTTTTTTCTTCAACTCTTTTTATTTCCTTTATCTATCATCATATAATCCTTCCTTTAATATTTAATTTGCTATTTCCTTTTTTCTACTTTTTACCATTTGAGTTTTTATTCGTTACATTCTTTTGTTTCCTGAACTATGGCTTTCTCTCATTTTTCTCTTCTTCTTTCTCTCCTTCTTTCTCTCATTCCTTCTCTCTTTATTTTCCTACACATTTTCTCCATTTATTCCTTTTATCTCTACCTTTCTTTTTCTGTTATTCCTTGTCTTTCTTTATTTTTTCTCTTCTTCCTTTTTTCTTACTTTCATTCTTTTTTTCATTAATTTCTCACACTTTGTCGAACTTTTTCCCTTTTTTTTACTTCTTACCGTAACTCATTTTCATTTATATTTTCATATTACTATATTCTAGTAATTAAAATCATTCTTCCTTTTTTTCCCTTTCATTCATTCATGGAAATTCCATTCATTCCTACATTTATTCACCCTATACGCTGTCCTGGATATGACAATAAACTACATCCGCGTCCTGGGTAAGATGATAAACTACATCGGACAGCAAGGCGTTTGATCAAGAGTTTGTGAAGTGGCGTGGAATCACCTCTTAATTGCTGGTGTTCCCAGGTACACCCAGACCCGGCGTGCTAAAACCTGTCAGGGTCCTAGGCTATGGGCAGATGTTTGGATAGTTCATAGATACATTACAATCTGCAGGGACCACCATGTAAATATTATTATTATTATTATTATCATTATTATTAATAATAATAATAATAACTCTTGCTTTCTGTTGCATAATCACAAAGTCACAAAAGGCAAGAAGACTTTTTCCACTGCACATTTGTCTAAAACGAATAAAAACAAAACATTCTAAACACGTTCACACACACGACTTACATAAAATATCCATTAGTATTATGTGAGATGTGCTTATGAAAATAACTATGGAATTTCCTTAAAATATGAGATGTTGTCGATTCCTTCAATTAGTTTATCAAATATTTTTCAATCAAACCCAGGGTTCCAACCACAACTGGGATTATTAATGTCTTCATGTGCCACATTTTTGAAACTTCCACCTCAAGATCCTTGGATTTTGATAGTTTCTTGAAGATTTTCGATCTGCAGAAGTACCATGTCAATAAAAGCCACCTTCTTCTTCTTCTTCTTCTTCTTCTTATTATTATTATTATTATTATTATTATTATTATTATTATTATTATTATTATTATTATTATTATTATTATTATTATTATTATCTGAGATTTCTGTTGTATACTCATTTCATTCTAGGTCCCAACTAAAGACATCAGCATCATAACATTTACAGGGAACAATTGTGCAAAAAATTAAAAAAAATAAAGCAACTAAAACACATAAACATTTTACATAAACCCATTTTATTGTGCCAGCTCTGTTTCTGTGAAATTCTTTAAAACATGGGCTGCAAGTAATCCCTTCAATGAGTCTATCAGAACCTTTTCAATTCAAACGCAGGTCCCCAACCTCGACTGGAATTATTGATATTTTCCTGTGCTAAATTCTTGTGATTCCCACTTGTATTTTGCTAGTTTTTGTAAAAGGTGTTCAAGCTTCTCTGGTTTTCATTCGTTATAACTGGGTGATTATCATTCATTGATCTGTCTGCATGTATTTTAAATTCACTTAAGATCGTTACAGGTCATGTGTCTGTAATTGTGTCTGTGTAGTGTTCGTTCCAATTTCATGAAGTTTCCTTCCAATAAAAGTTGCAAATTTTCTAGTACAGATATTAACCCAGTCTAGAATACTGAGGTTTATATTCGGTGGATGCTAATATCGTGAAATCTGCTACAAGATGGTAAGTAGTTTCTGCATATTCCTCATACAATCTGCATTTGGGTTCAAGAATTTTTCAATATCTTTGCTTGATAATTTCTTGTTACCAAGTATTCGTCCTGTGCAGCCAGAATAAGTCATTCAATTTTAGATATTATTATGTGTGGTATCATCTTACCAGAAAATAATTTTAATTACCTTATTACTAAGTCACCTCCGAGATCTTTGATTAAAAATGGTGTTATAGAACAATTATCTATGCTAGATATGTATTTGGAGCATTTCGTTTTGATGGAGTGAGTTTTGGGGATGATATGTGCACATCCGCACAAAGTAGGCTTTCGAAGCCATGTGATGTTGAGGCGTTCAGGAATTTTACTCTACCCTTTGTTATCATAAACAATGTCTTCATCACAAAAGGGATAATTTTAGTTTTAAGTTTCCATATTTTGTTACTTGAACTGTAGGTCGCTAGGAATCCATTTTAGAAACACTGGATTTTTTGTCAGCAAGCCATACCAATTAGTTGGCAGGTTCCTGATTTGAAATCTTTTATGACTATTTTGGTCTATTTGCATCTACGTTCTTGTCCATGAGGATTGATAAACTCCATTGTATACGCACCCCATCACAAATTGTGAAATCCTTCGTGTGATGTTTATACTGTTTATCCTGGTATTCACTACTATAGTTTGAACAGACATGCTAATGGATATATTTTCTTAGACTATCATTTGTAATAATGCATTCTTTCTCAGCAATGACTGCAAACCACTTTGATTATTTTAGCCTTACAATCATTAGTTAGAAGACATTGGTCATAATAAGGCCTTCTGCTTTTCGCTTTAGACCACTGCATATACACCATTTATGCGCTTGGCAGGCATCGATACCTTGTTCATTTAGAAACTTTGGCTAATTTCTGTACAAGATAGATCTACGTTTCTCAAGAGTTTTCATATGAGCAGCTTTCCATAGTATCTTAATTTTTTTGTAACTTAATTTTCCTATCGGTCGGAGTTTTAGAATCTTCTTCTTCTTCTTCTTCTTCTTCTTCTTCTTCTTCTTCCGTTTACGCATTTCTTTCCTGGTCACGCCCAGGGACCTAAGGTTAGAAATAGCATCATGACACTTTCCACTGACAAAAAAAAAAAAAAATGACATAGATAAAGCCCTTCGTAAAGTGTGGGCTGTACTTATCAGAACAATTTTTTGTATCTCCTTGAGGCATGGACTTCCAGGAATCCCTTCAATTAGTCTACTGCAATCTTTTCCAACCAGTCCTAGAGCTCCAACTACAACAGGGATTGTTGATGTTCCCATATGCCACATTTTCGAGATTTCTATTTCAAGGTCCTTGTACTTTGACAACTTTTTGAATATCTTCAAATATATATTGCAGTCAGCAGGGACTGCCATATCAACAAGGAGGCATCGTTTTTGTTTGTGGTCTTTAATAACAATATCTGGGCGGTTGGCCTTGATTGTTCTGTGAGTGTGTATTGTGTAGTCCCATAGAATTGTAACAGGTCCTATCTCCGTAACCAGGTTTAGGATGTGTTCATACCAGTGTTTTTCAGTTTCCTTCCCGTAGAAGTTGCAGATTTTCCAGTGCAGATATTGGCCCACTCTGTCATGTCGAGTTTTATATTCAGTGGGTGCCAACACCGTGCAACCTGATACAAGATGATCAATCGTTTCTGGATATTTATCACAGAATCTGCATTTTGGGCTGACACAATATTTTAGTATATGTGCTTGATAATTTCTAGTTAGCAAGCATTGGTCCTGCGCAGCAAGGATAAAACCTTCAGTTTCCGCTTTCAACCCTGCACTACGTAGCCACTGATGGGTACGGGTTTTGCCTACGTCAGCTTGTTTGGTACGGGCAGAGTATTGGCCATGAAGCGGGTTATCTTGCCATCGCTTCTGTAACTGGTCGGTTGCATTCGTATTTGCTGTCTTTTTTAGGTATTTTGCAGTTTCAGCCGGTTTATTGTGCTGTAGTTGCATCTCTACGCCCATTTGAAACTCCACTTTGAATTTGTTGGCTTATTTCATTACGGAGTAAAGACGCTTACTACTTTCATGTTCCTTGACGCATACCATCATCCAGTCTTCTGTAGTTTCCAAATATCTTTGGAGGCCAATTGTTGTAGTTTTGTAGGACAGTTCTAGTTGAACTATTCCTCTGTCTCCTTCGGATCTGGGCACATACAGACGATCAACATCAGCTTTGGGATGATGCATGTGATAACAAGTGAGAAGCTTTCTCGTTTTGGCGTTCATTCGCTTAATTCCAGCTATGGTCCAGTTGAGGACATTAAAGCTGTATTGCACCACAGGGACAGCCAATATGTTTATGGTTGATATCCTGTTTTTTGAGTTTAGCTCAGTATTTAGTACCAGACGTACACGCCTGTAGTACTCTTTTCTTATTTTTTCCTTCATTTGGGGGTGTTGTATGCCATCTCCTTCGCTAATTCCTAGGTACTTATAAGCTTCACCATGCTCCAGTTTCCTAATCTTTGTGACAAAATCTAAATCTATTAAGGGCGTTTCTGTAATTCTACCTTTCTTGAAAGTTACTTTTGCACATTTATCTAATCCGAAGTCCATACCTATGTCGTCACTGAAGTATTTTACAATATTGAGGAGGCCTTTCAACTCATTGTCGTCTTTGGCAAAGAGTTTGAGATCATCCATGTAGAGTAGGTGATTGAATATTTTCTTCTTCTTCTTCTTCTTCTTCTTCTTCTTATTATTATTATTATTATTATTATTTTCTTTCGTTTCTGGTGTATATCCACTTCTTCCCGGGTCCCGACCAGAGACATAATGTTAAAAATGGCATCATGATATTTTTCAAAAAAAAGCAATCACACATATTTTACATCGATAAAGCCCTTCATAAAATGTGGGCGGCACTTGTGAGTACATTTTTTTTAGTATTTCTTTAAGGCATGGGCTACCAGGTATTCCTTTAATTATTTCATTTGTTTTCTCTTGTATAACCATTTCTTTCAGGGTCACAACCAGAGACTTAATCTCGGAAATGTCTTCATGACATTTTTACTGATCATTTTTGAAAAAAAAAAAAAGTCCATACACATTTTACGTAAATAAAAACTTTCGTAATATATGACTTGTACTAGTGAGTAACTCCTTTCTTTTTATTTCTTTAAGGCATAGGCGTCTAAGAATCTCTTCAATGAATCTTTCAGAAACATTTCAAATGAAGTTAATAAATGCTTTCATTCTATTTGTACAAATCTTTTGATGATATATAATAATTTATATATAGTTATTTTTTATATTGTCTTTAGATTCATAACTCTTTCTTATGTAGATGACGCGTTTCACGCAGGGAAATTTTTTTTTTTATTTCTTATGAAAATGTGATGCTTCTATCTATACTTGTTAATCTTACGTTAGGATCCAGTTCTTATTGTTATAGTATTAATTTTATGCAGCCATATTTTGCAGTTGATTTTCGAATATATTTGTATTTATATTTGTTATACTTTTAAATAAATGTTTAAGTATTACTAGGTAA